AAAATACCACTTGTGAAAAGCTGAAGTCTGGCGATTCTAAAAAATATATACTTTCCTGGGTCTATTTGTAGTCATTTAGTCACAAATAGAAGATGAAAACAAGTATGCAAATAATAGTCTCGCTACCTTAAACCATCTGTGTGCCAACTTTTGTCACATTTTCACAAAATAAAACCCACAAAGATTTAGGATTTTTTCGAAAATTTTGATTAAGACCTGCAGCTGATAGAAAAGGATGTCCATATAGTTAAAAAACATTCTAATATTTATAGAAACATACATAAGATTAGACGAAATATAAACGTCCAAAGGGTTATTTTTCTTTTTTTATTTCAATCTTTGTATCTTGATGTGGAACATCCAACTTGCTTTATATATTGGGATATTTAATTATTAGAGTCATATTAAGGGTTCACACACTGGTCTAAATCTTCATGCATTTTGGTACTGTGAATGGAGATATGACACTGAACTTACCTTGATTCTGGCAAAAATGTGATTTCTCTTTCATCGCTGTTATCATGTCATTCATTGAGAAATCAGTGTTATCAATCTAGAAATCAACAAGCAGGAGGATGATTGACAGAGGTCTTTGCTTGGAAAAAAGTCCCATCGATTCAATTATGAATTATGTTACTAGGCTGACACAATCCACATAGATTAAGATGGATTGGGTCAAAATATAATTAAACTTTTATTGATAAATTTGTATATCAGTCTTTGAGTTGGGACGATAGGGGGCACCATAATTAGGGCAGATAGCATATGGCTTTTCTTTTTAACTATTATTTCAAATTTTGTATCTTCCCACAATGTAGTCAATGTTGAAATTTTGCTTTTTTCCATGGCAATATTTCAAAAGCTTTGAAATGCAATAATAACTTACCCTGAGTGGAGTGGTGTTCCAACCGACAGCTGAAATCTGGGGTTCATATAATGCTATCCTCTGTACATTGGTGGTAGTCAGAGAGTTGACGTCTTCTGTGAACTCAATCTGCAGAGTGAATATTTTGTGAAAGAATGAAGAGAAGAACAACAATTAATCAGCAATAATTTGGAGAGATTGCAGTGCCCTTTATCTTCAATCCACAGGAAAATCAAAATATATTTACACCTCAGGCACACACTGAGGGCAGACTAATAGTGGCCGAGAACACCTGACCAGCAAGATACAGGTTACAGATAGTGATATACTTGGTGGTGTATTGCCAATTCACTGAACACAATCCTAGACCAACAATTAAATAAACCTACATTCAGTTTTACTCCCACCAATGTACCCCTGGATCTGGATGTACCTTGATTTGACGGAGTATTTACCATGCTGTTTATTTGGTGTTATTTTCTTACCCCTGGATCCAGACTGAATTACTTTATAAATGTATCATATTGGTTTTGTACAATACTGGTCAAAATCTTTGGTAATTAGGGCATATTCATAACTAGGCCAGGACAGTCATTCCACAGTTGTTCATTTCAATATTTGTCTCTCTAGTAC